GGAGGTTTGAAGCCACCGGGAAGCTTATTAGATCCGTTCTGCAGAGTTAATTTGATGTTGGTAATCAGTGAGCAAGTTAAGCAGTTAAGGAGCTGGTGGCTGCCAAACGGTTTGGCTGCTGAGCCCGCTTGTAAGCAGCGGTTACTAATGAGTGCTTCATGAATATGAATGAGAGATGATTACAGTGTGGAAAGGGCAGTCAGCAAACCATAAACTTAATTTTAATCTTTTTATTATCAAAGTCACGTTATTATTAATAATAGACTCTACATGAAGACCTGGCTTCATCAGCCCATTAGGACGGTGCCCGGCCCCGCTCAGCACCAGGTCAGAGCCAGACACCATATGATGTGCCCATCACCAGGAGCCCACGGTGAGCCTTGGCTGGGGCTATTTGGGGTGCCCAAAGCATCCCTTGGGCTCTTGGTGTCCCACGGATGCCCTCACCCATTGCCATCCCTTGTGGAAGCCATTGGGTGCTTGTGAGTGCGATGGGGAGCTGAGCGCCCCAATCCCTGCTGCTCAGTGGCACATCACAGGTAACGCAGCCCTCGCTCCCCATAAGGGGATGATCCCATTGTCTCCGAGCCTAATTAATTGTAATTATTGTCGTATGACACTATGATATGAGCTGCTCGTGTAACGAGGTGGCAGTTCCGGTGTGAAATGCTGAAGCAAGGAATGTAGAACATGCTAAAAAATATTCATCTACAAATGAAAATGATTTTAATTGGATTCTGCCTTTGGGGTCGGGTCACTGTTACATTTTCAATCAGAGTTGTCCACTCAGCAAAGCGAGCTGCGCAGCCCTTCCAGATGGAAACAGCGAGTGGCTCGCAGAGGTTAATAGGAATGTTGGAAAATAAATAGGTTATTGATTGATAATAACAATAAGCTGACTCCAGTTCTACCTTCCTGACCTTCCCTCACCCAACTTAGAGAAAACTCAGTTAGCATCTCATTATGGATCACCTCCCAGTCCCACGTATTAATGAGAACATGTGGGCCGAGGGGACACCGGGGGCCAGGGGATCCCCCCTGCAGCCCTTCCTGATGTGCCAGCAGCCTCCAGGGCCACCAGTGTGCACTGAGTGGATAGGAATGGGGTTTTTGCCCTAATGGGTGCTGTCCCCACTGCACACCAGCAGCCTTAAAACTGTCTGCCAGCACTGCATGCACCATGGTGGCCGTGATGCTCAGGGTCAGCAGTGGGTTCCTCACATGAGGAGCGTTGGCCTTTCCATTTCCCCTCCCACCACCTGGTTTGCTGGAGTGTAGGTGCCACACTGCTCCCAGTGCTTGCTGCAGGCTTTGCCCAGAAATGGAGCATTGCATTGCAGGGAGCAGAGCATGAGCTGATGGAGATGTTTTTCCTGGTCTGGCACCAGCACAGCCCTGGGTGTAAGTGCTGTTATAAGGCCCAAGCCCTGATAATGTTCCATTTTGCGCAGTTCATCTTCTTAACATTTTCAGGGTATTAACTCAGTGGAGCATTAGTTGTGAGAATGAGAAGTGGCCAGAAATAAATCATACCGGGAGAGAAGTGCAGTTTGGGACTTCATAATTTTAATTAGCATTAATTCCACCTTTCTAATGAGGTCAGGTCAAGGGGCTGCCTGTGCTGTTGTACTTCAATCTGCACTGCAACCCCCCGGGCCAAGCAGAGACTGCCCATAGAAGACCTGTGAGGCACAGGGGCACCCAAAAGGACATGTGGGCATCCCCAGAGACCTCCAACTGTGCCCATGGGGCTGGGCAGGAGAAAGAGGGGTCCTGGGGCTGGGGAGCAGCTCAGGGTCAGTGCTCTGTCTGCCTGCCCCAGCACAGTGGCAGCTCTGTGGTTGGCACCGGGGTTCTCAGGGATGTGGGATGCACTCAGGGCCCCACTGGAGGAACCTCTGGGAACCCTCACTGACTCCTGGCTGGCAGTGCTGGAGGAACCTGCATTACCTGCAGCCGCGAGCAGAAACGCCACATCTCAGTTTCACAGAATCACGTTGCAATTGGATGCAAAGGTTGTTCATTCTCTTGCTTGTACGCATTTTCTGTCAACACGTGTTTGAGAGACTCACGGCCATGACGTCAAAATGCTGCTTACTGGAGGGGGGGGGGGGGAAATAAACGCAGCATGTTGGCTGCTCCCCTTCGAGCTGCCTGGAAGGGAGAGGGTCTGCAGATGGGGCTGTCCTGCCCAAAAGCCATGGGGACAGCGGCCAGGTGAGGGCCGTGCTCACCGACAACCGAACGGGAGCCGCGCCTATGGGTGCTCCCCAAAGCATCCGCTCTGCGGGCGGTGTCCCTGCGCAGTGCCTCCGCTGCTGCTCGGGGGTCTGGGCTGAGCCCTGCGGGGACGCGCACAGCCCTTTGCGGGACCGTCACCGCAACGGCGCGGCAGGGCTGCGTACGGCGGGCTGCTGTCGGTTAGCGGAGCACGAGCTCCATCTGCTGCCATCGGGCTCGGCCGGTACCGCAGCTCCGTGCCTGCAGCCCTCCCGGTTGCCCACAGCTCTTCGGCCCCAAACCTACAGTGGGTGTGCACCGGCTGTGAGCACCCTGCTATCAGCTGGAGTTGGGGGCTGTCGTGCTGCCAGCTCTGGTATTGTCCCCCATGCAGTGCTGCCCAGGCATGCTGGCTGTGCCGCGGGTCTCTCTACTTCAGTTTCATCCTCCATCGGTGCTTGGGCAAGGGGCATCACTCATGCCCTGCCCCAGCTGCATTGGGATGCAGCACCCCTCCCCATCCTGCACACATACTCTCTTGCCCCAGCCCCTGCATCCTGCTGCGGAGGTGGGTGTGGAGAGAATCATCCATCCTGGTCCCATGTACTTCGTGTAATGGCATGCAAGGGAACTGCCCCTCACCAGGAACTGTGTAAGTCCAGTGTAAGTCCACCAACCCCCTTTGCCTCCCTATGGGGCAGAGGAACCACTGGATGCAATGCCAGGAGTTGGAGACTCAGCAGTCCCAGGCTCTGCTCCTGCATAGGGGCTCAGCATCCAGCAGAATGAGGCCTGCAGCTGCAGAGGGGTCAATGTCTGCACCCACTCCCCAGGACCTGGACCCACAGGTCAGAGCACCCTCTTCCGGCATCCCTGGCCCCCCATGACCCACAAAGACACTGCACACAGGTGTTTGCACACTTGCCATGTTCACAGCAGACATTACAGGCAGTAAGCACATCCTTGGCCCCACATCCTCTTCCCCAGAGCATCCTTACCCCATGCCAGCACTGAGCCCTGCACCCAGCAGCACTGCAGGATTGCAGGAACACCAGAGATTGAGTGGGCTGTTGGGGGACATGCCTGACTGATTCAGCACCCCTGTGTCTGGCTCTGATGCCCTCCCTCCCAAAGGCATTCAAGGCACAGTTAGGGCAGGAGAAAGGTGACTCACAGTGAAATTCTTATGCCCTGGTACAAGGTGTCCTGGGCAGGATGGGGTGTCCCAGGGCCAGGTGCTGTCTGGACCTCTGCCCATAACACTGCTGGGGGTCCACACCCCTCTTTACCACCACCTATCTCCAGGCAGGTCTCAGATGGGAATAGACAGACAGACTGTCTCCCAGCCAAGGGAAACGCAGGGCTGGGATTGGGAGTGCTGAGGTGGCAGGGGTAGATTAAGGGAGGATGCATCTCTGTAGCTCCAGGCAGGCAGGGCTTGGAGCGCACAGCCCTGTGCTCATGGTGTAGGGATGGAGCAGTATTCATTGCTGCAGGTTTCTCCCCAGGCCCTGAACCTACTGCCCAAGGGGATCCCTGCCCTGCCCTGGACCTGGCCCGTCCTGCCGTCCTCCTCTTCCTCCTGCTCCCTTCCCCATTCTGCTCCTATGAGCCAATGTCTCTGCTCCCCCATCAGGAAGAAGCAGGCACCCTCCTCGATCAAACATATGAGCATCAGCCCAAAAACTCCTCCTGATCACAGCCTGGCTGAGGACATGGAGTGGATTGTTAGAGGTTAATGTGGAGGAGATGGGGAGCTGCTTGCCAGTGGGTGCTTCAGCTGCTGATTCCTCACTCATGGCTGGGGTGCAGGGGGCAGCCAGCTTGGAGCTCCTCAGCTACAGATCCAGGAGTCAGGCCGCTGTCCCAGGGATCGAAGGCAGCACAAAGACAACCATGGTCTGCTGGATGCAGGGTGAGCTGTGCTCTGTGCATGCTGGCGATGCCCTACACACACTTCATGCCAAACCTGGGCAGATGGCCGGATCCTGAAGCCTCAACCCCATGCAAATGCAGGGGAGTTTTACCTGAATTCAGACCTATGGAAAGCAAAGCAAGGGCTGCAGCCCAGCCCCAGCATTAGCAGCACACTGACTCTGCCAGGCAGAGTGCCTCTGGCCAGCTCATCACCATCACTGTCACTGTCACCATCAGTGGCTGGCAGGACACTGTGAGTACCAACCCATGGGCAACCTCAGCCCTCAGAGCCTCATGGTTAGTTAGGAGCACGCTGCTGGCACCACCTTTCTGCATGCATCGGGGTCACGAGATCACTGCAGAGAGAAAAAGGGAGCAAAGAGAGCCAGCAGAATCTGCAGCTGCCCCGCATGTGATGCGGAGAGGCTGTTTCCATGACAGGTGAACTGGGGTGGGGGGCTTGTGGCCATCGTGCTGCTTTCTGGGCAGCTTTGCTGTTTATTGTGGCAATTGCCAGCTGTTGCTCATGGTTTTGCTCATTCCATTCGGTATCTTTTCCTCATTGAACCACACGAAATTTCTTAGCAAAAAACAGACCAATAGGGAAATTTTGAAAGCAGCCCTGGCCTGAGCCTCTCCCTTTGTGCTGCACCCACTGGCAGTGTGGGGTCAGCAGCTGTGGGTCACTGGGTGTGTAGGGATCACGGCTCATCTGTCATGGCCAACAGCACTGGAAAGTTGAAGTGCAAAGAACTGTTAGAGGCAATAGAGAAACAAGTAAAGAGAGGTGAATGTAGGCTGTTAGTAAAGAGAAGCATGGCATCGTCAGTCGCGCTTAGAGAACATATACACTAGAAGAGAAATGAAGAGAAAAGTAGCAACGATTAGTTTGTTTAATTCAGTTCAGGAATGTGTTAGTAACAGAGAGATCCACTGGCTTAAAAAGGAACTGAAAAGCTTCTGCTGATAAAACCATTTTGGGCTCCCAGTCAGCAGCAGAACCATATGCAGCACTTTGGGCATCGCAGCCCCACTGCTGCAGAGACCAGCCCCATGCAGGGGACATACAGAGGAGCTGCCCATCCTGTCCTGCCTGCCCCACATGCTGCCTGGCATCCCCAGCCCCATGCTGCCCCGCACAGCCCCATACTTACCCAGCTTTTCTGTTCCCCTTTAAGGCCTGTGGGCTGTTAGTGAGAGCGGGGCTGTTAGTAGGGCATGCGCAGGTGTGTTAGTGGGTTAGTGATCACAAGGGGCACACGGTGCCTGGGGGGCCTGGTTAGTGCTGGAGAGGAGCAGAGCACACGCATGCACAGCTGGGCACGGTTAGTCCCCGCGCAAGGCAGCATGGCTTTGGAGAGCAGGAGACGTTTTTGGGCTTTGCCACTGGGTTATGGGATATGGGAAGGTGTCAGGGGATGGGTCAGCGCAATGCAGCCTTCCAGATGAAACGCTTGGTGGGGATCTGCTGCTGTCACCGTGCTGGTAAGGCACACAGAGCCTGAGTACGCCCTGCAATGTGCAGCCCTGGCACCATGAGGATGAGAAATGGACTCCAAGGAGGGGACAGCCTCATCAGTGCCAGAGTGTTTGCAGGAAGAAGAGGACCCCAGCACCTGGAAGAACCATGTGAAGGCAGTCCCATGTCCTCAGGCACTGCCACCACCATCTCTTCAGCCTTGTTCCCACAGCAGCTGGGCTGGCATCAGGTGGCTTCGCTGGGGCCAGCAGCTCCAGTGTCCATGTGCAGGTGGCTGTCACGTCCCTGTGCCCCGGTGCCCTCGGGTGAGAGCTGTGGCAGAGCCATGGGGCTGGTGGTTCTGGGAAGCAGAGATGCTGTGAGCACCTATGAGCAGACCCCATCTCACTGCCACACACCTCTTGGAGCAGCCCATGGTCACGCAGCCTTATGGTGTGACCCATGGACCCCAGGGCGGGCAGCTTTGCTCCAGGTGCAGAAGGAGCAGCCCTGAGTGCAGGCAGCACAACCTGACTGCACAGACCTGTGCCAGCTCTCAGACTACGGGGCGAGCACAGGGCTGGGTAATACCAAGGGGTGCCCACCTGACGCACAGGGGTCCTACCTGTGCAATCTGGCTACGTGGGCACAGTGCAGCGTCCCCCATCCCGTCCGGATGTTCCTCTGCGAGAGCTGCGCAGGGGACTGTGTGTGAACAGACCTCAGGTCAGTCATTAGCAGCTGCAAAAGAAAGCAAGCAACGCAGCAAGAGAGCAAGGAGCAGCACCATGCTGTCGGATCAGCACCGAGGTCCCCATTGCAGCACTGCCTCAGCGGAGCGTGGCACTGCCATGCAGTGAGAGCCCTGCAGTGCCCTCAGACCCACTGCTGTGCCCGCACCTCTCTGCTCATGGGCTGTAGCAGAGGCAGACATCCCCACCTGGCTGCATCCCGCTGGGAACAAGCAGCGTGGGGCCAATGTGGGAAAAGCAACAATGGCCCCAAACCCCAGCGGGGCCGCTCTGCAATGACTGCGCACTTCAGCTGCCGAGCAGCTGCCGTTTGCTGCCCGAGGTTCATTGTTGCTGCTCGGTGGGACGATCCCTCCTCCCTCCGCCCGCAGCAGTGGCTCCAGTCTAACCCCCCCCCCAGCACCCTTCCACCCCTCCCACCCCGCTGCTGTCCCCCACCCCACTGCCACCCTCTGTGCCCGCACCGCTCTGCCGCTGCTTTCTGAAGCAGAGCTGTAATGGAGAAGGGTCCCCAGGGTGTTGGGATCTCATTCTTCCTGGCTCCCCGGATGAGATGGACGCGCACACAAAGGCGGTGGAACAATGAGGGAGAGAAAATGGCTCCCCAAAAGGAGCCTGGCGGCAGCTGTCACATTAACTCTTTGCAGAGGGAAGAGCTACCCTCAGCCTCTCTCCTCTAAAACCCCCACCTAACATCACCAGGCCTGGAGGAAAATGGTGGTTTCAAAACAAAGAAGCAAACCAGCATTTTGCCTGCTTCCTTTCCAGGAGCACTGAAAATGAGGCAAGAATCCATTTACCTGTCTCGAGCCCTATTCTTGATGAGGATTCTGAAAAACAACACGAACAAGCGGTGCATCCATCAGTATTGGTGCTGGTACTCAGTGAGGGGCTGTGGGCATGGAATCGGGGGGCTCCCAGGGCTGCACCCAATGCCCCAAAACCCTGGGCCTGGAGAAAAGCCAAGTAACCATTAGGAAACAGCAGAGGGAAAAGGAAGGGCAGCATTACCTGGCTTCCAGGTGGCAGCCGGCTTGGGGACCGTGGTCTGCGTGCTTCTCTTGGCCGCTGTACAGCTCCTTTGTGCTGGAGCTTTCCAGAGAGATTCCCTGTGCAAGATATTGCCATGCAAACTCCTCCCCCACAGCCCCTGCCGGCCCCGCAGCCCTACCTACATGCAGGAGGATGCTGCAGCGCCCATGAAATGTTAATGTTGGAGATGCAGCCCAGGCAACATCTCTCCCTCCCCCCCTCCCCTTGGCCCCAAGTGATGGGTGGGGGTTGGAGCAGGAGGGGGCTAAGAGCAATGGCTGCTGCTTGGGGAGAGCGTAACAGCTGTGGGTGCTGCAGTGTTGGGGTGTCACTGTGCCACAGTGCATCATGTGCAGGCACCCAAGGGCAGTGCCCGGCCATCCCACTGTCCCCAGTGGCATCACTCCACATGTAGGTGCACTGCCCAGCTGCACACACATCAGATGGGAGCTGTGGAGGCTGTGCTGCCACAGCTGTTCTGGGGCAGCAGGAGGATTTCGCTCAGCCCATCCCACACTGTCTGCTTCTCCTTCTATTCAGTATTTTTAATTATTATGTCCTTTGAGGAGGATCCCTTCCCAGGGAAGCATTGTCTCCACTGTGGTCTTTCTTTTGCAAATGCCAGAAAAGGGACATCTTAATGCCATCAAACCTTTTTTTCTCCAGAGCTCTTCTGAAATGAGAAATATTTCTGAACCATTATTTTTTTCCCCATTACATTGCCAGCTTCAGCTCACTGCTGTTTTCCCACAAGACAAAGAAGATGTTGTCTCAGCAGCCCCCACCAGCAACCTGCTTCCTCCATCTCCTGCAGCACTGAACAGGGCCAGCAGGAGAAGCCCTGCCCAGTGGCTCCTCTCTGGGCACTGCCATGCTGCAGGGCTGCACACTGCACATGGCCGCAGGGGTGGTGCATTAATGCAGAGTAGTGTGTATGGGCACAGGCACAAGTGCACAGGTGGTGCAGGGTTTTGCCATGGCTAGAGGGGCGCATACACAGGTGTGGGGATGCAGACATGAGTGCACAGGTGTGTGCGTGGATGTTTGCATACGTGCAAAGGTATGGAAGAAGGTGTGCATGAGTGACGAGTTGTGTATAGGCATGAAGATGGGGGCACAGCATGCAGCTGTGGCCTGCCAGACCTTGCAGCTCCTAATTCCTCCTGAGCAGGGCTCAGGCAGCACGGTATCCTTTCCTGCCTGGTTGGAGCCACGGTGCTGGTTCCAGTCCCCTGACAGTGGTGGGGACATGGGCACCTCTGAGGCACCCCATTGCCTCTCCCAGCCCACATACCCCTCCAAGTGTAAACACACCGTGTTGGACAATGGAGCTTTTATTGAGCTTTGCCACCTTCGCAGCACAGTCTGGGGGGTGCCTGCAAGTGCAGAGCTAGCAGTCACTGCTGAACCCTGCGGATGGACTGCACCTGGCCCGTCTGTGCATGGGAGCCCCACTCCCGAACGTGCTTGTATTCGCCGGCATGGCTGTCACTCTCCAGGAGGTACTGGAAGCCCCTGTACCCAGGGTACTGTGAGCAGACCCACCTGGCCGTGAATGGAGCAGAAGGAGCACGTCTCAGGGTGGTGGCACTGCCAGAGGTCCCAGCAGAGTGCCACCAGCCCTGCCTCACTACTCACGCGCCGGAGCAGACGAGGAAGGAGCCCACGGCACTGCCGTCCCAGCCCAGCTCGGGCAGCGAGGGGCAGTCGTCGCTCAGCTCCCCCCTCCTGCCCTGGAAGTTCTCCTGCTCGAACAGCAGCAGCTGGCTGCGCCCGTGCTCCTGCACCGAGATGCACCGCATTGGCACGGCTGCGCATCACCGTGGATGGGGGACAGCACGGGGTCCGGGCATGTCACTGCACTGGGTGCTACTCACAGCACAGGTGATGGGGCGGAAGGAGCTCATCCTGTCCACGTGGTAGGCGTTGCTGCCACTCCACGCCTCCCAGCACGGATACTCACCACGCTCCAACACAAACTGCTGTCCCTGGAAGCCGCAGTGCTCGAAGCCCACCCAGCTGCGGGAGCCAAGGGTGAGTGCCTTGGGACCCCCAGCCCCACGGGATCCCCCGGCCCCTCACTCACGCCCCACTCTCGATCCTGAAGGAGCGCACGGTGCTGAAGCCGCGCTCCGGCGTGCTGTAGCATTCGGTGGTGAACTCGTGCCGCTTGCCCTGGAAGAAGGGCTCGTCCCATACCACGATCTGGGGAGCAGGGATGGATCAGGGCTCCGTGGGTGCCCTGCTGCCAGCTGTCTGTGGGGCCAGGGCTACGTTCCCAGCCTTCCTTTGCTTCCTGCACCTTCCAGAGGCCGGAGGACGGCCTGCGGCGCTGGATCATCGCGGCTCTGCGTAGGAGGACAGGAGGACAGGAGCTGTGCCCTGGTGGACAGGGGGAGGCTGGGGGTCCGCACTGCTCTCCTTCTGTGCTTACTGGGGACGAGTGCTGAGCCCGGAGGTGGCGTGGCCAACAGCTCTCCGGCAGAGCTTTTATAGCCTCCAGATAGAGACAGGGCAGGAGAGCATTACAGAAAGCCCTAACTCAGCACACGGCAGGAGGAGGGACTGGCAGAACAAAGGCAATGCCGTGGGGGAGCAATGGGCTCGGTGACACCACAGCTCTGCTCCCAGCACACCAGGCACGGGCTGTGACATGACCCAGGGTCTGTGCATGTCCCCCAGCTGTGCCCTCCACCTGCCCCAGGCACAGAGCACAGAGCAGGGAACAGTAGCATGGCAAAGCCAGGGGCCGATTTGCAAAGGCATTATAAGGGCCTAGTGGTGCAGATGAAGGTTTATGGATTCTATCTCTGTGCTCAGGGACCTGGGAAGAGCCCACAGAATCTACACTGTACCTAAATACCTTCTGCTTTTGCTCATAGTGACCCCCCTCCTACTGCATAATCCTGGGGCAGCAGTGGGGAGAGAACACCCCTAGAGCTGCAGGAGCACCCCTATGGCTGCAAGTTGGGAAGGAAACCAGGAGAAGGACAAAAGGAGTTGAATCTGCGGGGTGGTGGAGGCTGGATATCAGCACTCAGGAGCCACCAGCACAGCGGCGTGGTTAAGAAAACACCTGGCTCTAAGAGGAAGAAATGCAGCTTAAAATAGAAAGGTGTCTAACAACCACGAAAATGAATGCAAATTGAAAACCAAGAGTCATGAAAACTGCCCACCATGACAGTAAGGAAGTGGACCCTGGGGTGAGCTCAGAGCAGCAGCAATGCAACACACTCAGCAGTGCCACAGGGGACAGCATGGTCGATAAGGAGAGAAGAAGAGATCGATGAGTGCTTTTTGTTTGGTATTTTGGGAAACATCCCGGGTGGTGCTGCTGAAATTGCACCACTATGAATTAACACTTTGCCCTCGAGGGGAACGAAAGCAGCAGCTTCTGAATGAGGGCTGTGGGCTCACCGAATGCACAGCCATGGGTGATTTATTTTGTCCGTGCTGGAAAGCCCAAACTGATGCTGCTGAGTGTTTGATGGGACTGCAGGCTCCCAGCAGGCACAGAAGAGCAGCTGCTGGCAGAGTGCCCCCAGGTGCCCCCCCCTCGCCCCCTCTGCCTGCCTCCCAGCAGCTGACACAGCACTGCTGCACTGAGGTGGGATTTGCTCCCATGCAGCACATTTAGAGGAGAACAAGGAATGGTACAAATGAGCATAGCACGTGTTCAATGTGCTGAAAACTGGCGGTCGAGTGGAGATGGACACAGTGGGCACAGGGAGCAGGGGCTGCCAGCTGTGGCATCCTTAGAGGAGAATGCTGCTTTTGTGGACTAAGACATACCATAAAATGCCTGCTTTGACCACACATCAATTGTGGAAAAAAAATTAAAAAGCAAACACAAAAGCAATACTCAAAGCATTTCACAATCTCGCATTCTTTTTTACAGTCTTGCATTCTCGCAACTTGCTTCCTTGGAGCTGCCCAAGGCCATAGATGGTCTGTGTAGGTATGGAGGGATTTTTAAAGCAAGACATGTAGTGCTCAGGTGGAAAATGAGGAAACAGAGGGTGCACAGCTGGTTATGCCCAAGGTGCCGGGACAGAAACCTGCAGGGCCAGAGAGATGGGGCTGGGAGCCCTGCCTGGTCCCATGGGCTGGGCTTGGGGGCAGCCACAGGGCTGGAGTACCATGCCCAGCAGCAGCAGCAGTGCTGGAGCCAGGTGCTGGTGGGCTGCAGGGGTATATATGCTCTGTGCGGGGCCGTGGTGTCGGCGTGTGGCAAAGTGGCGCGGTCAGGTCTTCTGTTGTGCCGCTGGATAAAGGAAAGTGCTGGGTTCAGCGGCTGGGCACAGGGCCGGGGAGAGGCTTCCAGCTCGCCCAGAGCTTTGCAGGATGTGATGACTGGGCGGCCGCACAGACACTGATGAGCTGGCACTTCCATTGTGTACCCGCCTGCGCTCTGCCCTTGCCAGGCTATAAAGTGGGGGCCCCGCTGCACCCCGAAACACAAGCCTGCTCCCTCCAACAAGAAGCAGCAGCTGCCCAGGTAAGAGGAGAAAGTCCCCGGGCGGTGGCACTTGCTCCAGCCAGTCCCAAGGGGGGGAGAGGAAAACGCGGGTTTTTGGCTGTGCCCACACTGTGCCCACCATTTCTGGAGCACCCTGAACCAGCACGGTACTGGGGGGTGCAAGGAGGGTCCCACTCCCCCTGGGATCCCCTATTGTGGTGCCACCAGTGGGATGCCCACTGCAGGTCAAGCCAAAGCAGGGCTGTCTCCTCCCACCCCACCACCCATCGGTGGCCCCAGGGCTGTCCCGCTGCCTGCTGTGCTCCCACGCACGCCTGTGTGGGATGGCCTCAGGGAGCTCCGGGTACCCCCAGTGATGGGGCCACGCTCAGGGCTCTCCTGAGGATTGTGGGCAGCTGGCACCTCTTGTGGCCAAGGCAGGACCCATGTCCTGTGCGCCGTGGGAAGCTCCTCACCCCCACCCCAATAGCACGGCCACTGGGACCCTTGTCCCCACTGAGACCCCCCCACCTCTGTCCCCAGACCCGAGCTGACCACCGCGATGTCTGAGACCACAAAAACCACTGCTCCTGGCCAGGCTGCAGAGGACAAGGAGAAGGCGGCCCCGGCACCAGCTCCATCCTCAGACCCCACTCCTGTCACCAACAGCAAAGGGGAAGAGCCCTCCACGGAAGCTTTCAGGGTAAGCCTACGTGTCCCCAAGCGGAAAGACAAAGTGTCAGGGAGAGGGACAGCATCAGTTCACGGCCTGATTCCTTTGCTCTCCCACAGATTGTCATCTTCGAGCAGGAGAATTTCCAGGGCAGGCAGATGGAGTTCACCAGTGAGTGCCTGAACCTGGCAGACTGCGGGTTCGACAGAGTGCGCAGTGTCATCGTCAGCTCTGGACCGTGAGTGACACAGTGGGGATCCAGTGGGGACCCAGCAACCCTGGGCCAGAGCCAGGCAGGGAATGGAGCCAAAGCAGCACTGGGGAGGTGGGATGAGGCCTGGGAAGCATTAGTAAGGGTAGAAACTCGGGAACACAAGGTCAATGGGGGACAGGTCCCAAACCCTCAGGGTCTGCTGGACATCCACTGGTGGAACTGCACCCAAAGCTTTTGCTCAGGGAAAGACAAAAGTAAAATCAGCCAAGTGTAAGGTTGGAGTGCCCACAGTACTCTGACCTGTCTCCTGCCATCAGGAAAATCCCTGCAGCAATAGCTCCATGTTGGAAGAAAACATCCAGCAGTGAATGTGGAAATCCTCTGGTGCTGGCTGCCACAAGGTGGCCAAAAAGGTGGCATTGCCACTGTGTGAGCACTGAGCCCTGAGCTTGGGTGACACTGGAGGTGCACAGTGCAGCGGGTTGTTTGGGAACATTGGCCCTGTGCTCCATGATGTAAAGTGGAACAAACGCACTGGGAGCACAGGGATGAGCTCTGCACACAGCGTGCCACCCCAGGGCCTTGCAGCAGAGCTGCACTTCAGGCAGTACCTGTAGTGCTGCAGGGCTCCTGATGTGCCATACCCTGCCCATCCCCAGCTGGGTGGCCTATGAACAAGCCAACATGCGCGGGGAGATGTTCATCCTGGAGAAGGGCGAGTACCCACGTTGGGACACCTGGTCCAGCAGCTACCGCAGCGACTGCTTCATGTCCATGCGTCCCATCCGAATGGTGAGTGCTCAGCACCCCAAGTGCTGCGGGCACCATCCGCCCATCCCAACGCCGCTGTCCCCCCCAGGAGGCCGAGGACCACAAGATCTCCCTGTACGAGTCCGCTGACTTCAAGGGCAACAAGATGGACATCCAGGAGGACGACGTGCCCAGCCTCTGGGCTTATGGCTTTTGCGACCGTGTGGGCAGCGTGAAGGTGCCCAGCGGAACGTAAGCTGGGGCTGCAGCGGGGGGCGCCGGGGAGGGAGAAAGGGGGTTTGGGCACGGCACTGAGTGCTCCGTCTGCTCTCCCCGCAGCTGGGTCGGGTATCAGTACCCCGGGTACCGCGGCTACCAGTACCTCTTTGAGACCGGGGACTTCAGGCACTGGAACGAGTGGTGCGCCTTCCAGCCCCAGATCCAGTCCATCCGCCGCATCCGGGACATGCAGTGGGACCAGAAGGGCACCTTTGTCACCCCCGAGGCGCCCTCCAACTGAGCGCGGCCCCGCGCCCGCCCCGCGCTCCCCCTGCACTCTCCGTGTCTACCGACCGCGCCACCGCCGCCGCCGCGTGTACTCGACGTTGTGAGGCAAATTAAAAAAAAAATCAGACGATGGAGCTGCCTGCCGCGTGCGTTCCAGAGCGCGCTCCGTCGCCTCGTTTCCCTTTGCTCCCATTCCGCTCGGGCTCGTCTTCCATTCCCTCCTTGCAAACCTCAAAGCGAGACCCCCCTTTTCCCCCCAGGGGCAGCCCCTGAGTTCCCCCACCCCTCTGTTGGGCACCGTGCACGCAGCACTGCCTGGAGCCGTGCATGCAACGCTACCCTGACCGCAAGATTTGTGCACGCAGCACACGGACGGGACGGGCGTGCAACCAGTGCAGCGCTGCAGCCGTGGCCTCGGCACCATGCACGCGCCGTTCCCCGAGCGCCGTTTGCACAACCCGCGCGCACGTCCAGTCGCTCGCACCGTGCACGCGCAAGGCGGCCACACGCGTGCACGCCAGGGGACGCATGCGCGGTGGGGCGGCGGGCGGCGCGGGGATCCCGGCCCCTCTGCGCGTGACGTCGCCGTATCTCAGCGCCGCTCCGTTCCGCGCCGGCGGCGGACCCGGGGAGCGCGGCCCGGCCCGGTCCGAGCGGCGACACCGGAACCGCAGCGACAGCCGCAGGTGGGAGCGGGGAGGGGCGGTGCGGGGAGCGCTGTGCACAGTGCGCGCAGTGAGCGGCGTGCGAGGGGTGGTGCGTGGCGCTCAGAGCGCGGTGCTCAGTGTCTGGCACTCGGTGCGGGATGCACGGTGAGCGGTGAGCTCGGGGTGATGCGGGGGCACGCGGTGCTGGATGCTCAGTGCATTGAGCGCTGTGCACGGTGCAGGGTGCACGGGGTGGTGCCGGGCGCGCAGTGCGCGGTGCTCAGTGCAGGGCACTCGGTACAGGGTGCTCAGTGCGAGGTGTTCAGTATGTGGCACTCGGTGAGCAGCGTGAACGAGGTGGTGGTGCAGGGCACTCGGTGCATGGCGCTCAGTGCGGGGTGCTCAGGCACCCATTGCAGGGCAGTCTGATGTGGCACTCAGCACAGGATGCTCAGTGCGTTGCACTCAGCACAGGATGCTCAGTGCAGGCTGCTTAGTGCAGGATGCTCAGTGAGCAGTGTGCACAAGGCGGCGGTGCGGGGTGCTCGGTGCATGGCACCCAGTGCAGGATGCTCGCTGCAGGGCGCTCAGTGCATGCAGTGCTGCAGTGTGCACGAGGCAGTGCATGATTCTCAGTGCAGGGCACTCCATGTAGGTTTTTGCTCCCTGCCCAGAGGCACGCTGCTCTGCCCCTGCTTTCCCCCAGGGCACTCTTAGGGTACCTGCTCTCACCCTCTCATCCCTGTGCATTGCAGACAGCAGGCTGCTGTGTGCACATCCCAGGAGGTTGGAGCATCTGCCAAAGAGCTTGTCTGTATGAGTGAACTCCCATGCCCTGCTGCTTTATGGTGCCACCGCCATGCCCTGAGCCTGTGCTCAGCAGTGCCTTTGGGGCAGGAATATCTCTAGTGTTGCATCACTGGGAAATAAAATATTTTGATTATGTTTCCTAAGCAAATTTGAGGTTTTGGGGTTTCTCTTGCAGAAACAACCTTTACTTTGCAAAGCCATGATCTTTGTGCATGCGGGAATGGAGCTCATTAACACTTATGCTTTGGCATGTAAATTTGGAAATACTGTTTTGAAGATGGGGAGTGTTTTTTCTAGCAGTACCTTTGATGTTTTTTTTCTCCCTGTTGCATGGCACGCTCTGACCACCCACGCTCGTGGTGAGTCTTTTGTTCTGCTCCGTTTGTGCATAGGCACGCAGAGGGCTGCCACCAGGACATGGGAACAGAGGCAAAAGGTTTGCATATGGCACATCAGGGACTTTCCTCCTCCAGGACAAGCTGGCTGCAGGTTGCTGGCGTTGGTGCTGCCTTTCAGTGGCTCTGTCACTTCGGGTGGTGCTGCTGCTGCAAATGTGAACCGCAGCGCTGCTTGGTCTATTTGGGGATTTTCAAAGGCCCTTGTGACCCACAAGTAGTCTAAAATCCATGTGTTTGTACCAGGGTTGGCTTCTGGTTCCTGTTACTGTGTCTGGCTTTCTGGCCCACATCACATCTTTAGTTTGAATCAGCAAAAATGCTCTGCTCTGCGTGGTGCTGCTCTTGTCACGTGGGGCCCTGAAAGCGACTGTTTGTGTTTTCCTCTGAAGGCCACTGGTGCCCTTGAGCAGAACAGTTTCATGATGTGGGCCCTGCTCTACACCTGGCTCCCTGCTCCCCTCCTGCAGTGCTGCCCTGGGGCTGCACCCCTGGGTGCTGCTGCGTGCTGCTGGGTGCTGCCAGATACTGCAGCCCCAAGTGCTGCAGGATAAGCATTGCTGCTGTAGAAAGATGCACATGAGGTCCATCGGCATCTTGCTGGGCACAGTTACTGCTGTTCCTCCGTGAAGATGTTCACATTTCCTCATCCCTCATTAAGCCCAAGGATCTGAGCTAAAACTTTCCATGCCACACCTCTGTCATTTCAGGAAGTCACTAGCATCTATTTCTGGGAATGGTGTAAAGCAAAATTAATTTAGCATCACATCATGCTTCTTACTGGTTCTGTCCCTTGTTTGCAATAGTTTGCAATGCTTCTCTGCTTTGAAGAATGGGCCGGAGGCAGTGCTGTGTTGCAGACAGGGTGCTGCCTGTGGCCAGACGCTGCTGTGACCAGGCGATGGCACAGCACGGCCCTGTGCTGCAGCAGGAAGGAAGTCTGCAAGTCTGTATGTGTGTGTGTGTGTGCACATTGTGTTTGTGAGGGTGAGAGCTGGAGGAGTTTCCGGAGCAAGGCAGCTGTTAAACCACTGCACCACGGAGCTCTGAGATGTGTGTGGGTGCTGCTCAGCGCCCTGCAGCCTTGTCCAGGGTAGATCTTGTGGCTGAAGGAAAGGAGCAGGAAGTGTTGTGAGGATGAAAGGCGATGCATGTGCTGCAGATGAGCTCTGCTCCATTGCAGCGTTGGTGCTGGGTGGAGTTTCCCTCTGGTTTCCCATCAGTGCTGAAGCAGAGGGGCTGCGTGACGTCTGGTTGGGCAGGAGAGGAGGAGGATCTGGGGTGGCTGGAATAACAATTAGTGTCTGTACTTGAAATGTTCTCAAAAACATCCTCCAGGGCTGGGACAGGGCCATGCGTGCAGGAACAGCACTGTGCACACAGGGACACAGCTGTGGCCTCACCAGGGCGCTGGCAGGAGCCCTGCAGTGAGTGTGGTGCCTGGGTTGCTCCATGCATGTAGGTTTGCAGAGCTGAGCTGCTGGGTGCTGGCAGTTCAGGGTTCAGTGCTGTGGCTGCATGGAGATGGTAACTGCTGTGACAGTGGGTGCTTGCAGCACTGGAGCTGGATTTTGCCCCTGAACCAGCACCAGGAGGATCTCAGCCACGTGCTTCAACGTTGCTGTGGGGCTGAGCTTTGCCCCACCAGCTGGGTGGGGGCTGCCTGTGATCAGCAAACAAATCAACCCTGTGATTTTTCTTCCCTGCTAGGTGTTCTCACGGCCATCTGCATCTCAGCACGAAGCTTGGCTGGCAGCACCATGAGCTGCAAGGGGCAGGTAAGGCATGCCTGGAGCTCCCAGCACCTGGTTCCCCCGTGGCACCCAGAGTCCACTGATGGATGTTTCATCCATCTGTCCACGCTTTGCTGGTGCTCTGTTAATACTGCACTTCTCCAGCTTGCAGCCCTGTCGCTATGGAGGTCCTGTCAGCATGTAAATACAGAAGGCACTCTGCCTGCAGGAACTTTGGTGTCCTTGTTTGGTACTGCCTTGTTGTCACTTCCCCACCAACCTCTCTTCTTCCTGCACGGCTGCAGTGGTTCCAATTGCCCTGACGTGCTGAGCGCTCTGACTGCGCCGTTGCTGCAATGGGTCTGCGTGGCCGTTAGCAGTTATTTTTAGGGTGAACATTTGAATACATTTACATGAGTGAGACAGATGGAGATGGAAGGGTGGAGCGGACAGCGCTTATCTTTTTAATGGGCCTGACTTGGGGCTGGACAAATGCCAGGGTGCTGTTTGTTGTTCCGTGTGGCGTGCAGTCGAAACAGACAGATCACCATTTGACTTCTTGGCTCGTACACAGCATGTGGACGTGCATTTGAAACCGTTGGATGCTGGTGGGACGACAGAGCAGCTGGTCGGGGAGTTGGCCATGGGGCTGTGTGCTGCAAGGAGAGTGCTGGTGGCCATGTCACCTTGGGATGGGAAGGGCCCTGGCATGGGCTGGTAATGGGGAGGGCTGTATGCTGTGGGGCTGGCACCGGGCAGGCCCTGCTGGCTGCTCCCCACTTGAAGGCGTTTGGCTAAATGAGCTCTTTGATGAAAAGAGTGGAGAGGAAAAGGAGCTTTTCTGAAGCAGTTCTTTGATTGTCAGTGAAATAAAGCGCACGGACATCTCGTTCCTTCCACTCACCCGAGCCCTGTAATCACAAAGAACTTGAAATCCCGCTGTGACCCTGGGGTAGGATTGCCAAACCTGCACTCACAAACCCAGGGGGGAAGGGGAGGAGGGGTGGGAGCAGTGCCAGCTCTCCTGGGAGCCGTGCAGGCAGCAGCACAGCACTGCACAACAGCACTTCTGCAGCCGTGTCCTGCAAGCAGACGCTGCCTCAGTGCTGGGGGGGCTTCGTGTAAGGTCAGGCTGGGGGAGAAAGGTGTTAAACACAACACACGTTGCTATTATTGATGTGTTACCCTTTTAATTTCTCAGCTTGTTTCATTCTAATGGGTAATTGCTTCTTTCTGACTTAGGCCTTGAGGAGTGCGTGAGCTGCTTTTGTTTTTCTGTTTATTTCAGTTTCCACCCTCCCCTACGGCAGCATATGTAAAACTGAAGAAGATGTGGGAGGGGGGCAGGTGGTTGGCAGGAGGGGAGGAGGGCAGCGTGCCGAGCGCAGGAGCTGCCCTGGGAGGCTGGGCTTCGTCCAGGACGGAGCAAACCCCAGAGATTCCTTACTGGGTGAAAAGAAAGCTGTTGGTTTTTTTTTTTCCCCTTGTCTATTACACACTCGATCCAAGGGAGTAAATGGAAAAAGGCGAAATTGCACGGTGCAGTGACTGAGTGAGAAGGACCCCTCCTCTCCGAAAACTCCACCGAGCTTTGCTCCGGCCACAAACCTGAGATTCTGGGGACAGAAACAGCCAAGAACTAATCTCTTTGGGTGTGCTCTGAGGCGGGCTTTAATTACATTCTGGGTAGAAGGCACCTAGCCTGAAATCTGCTGATAGGTAGAAGGGATGACGACAGCCCGGCACGGTGTGGGCGTCTGCGGGAGCTGCTGGGGCCAGGATGCAGGCGGCCCTGCTCACAGAGCTGCTCTCTGTCTTGCAGATGCCCGCTGGGTTGAACGCACTCTGGCTGAAAACCAAAGTGTGGTGACGTGGTGTGCAGTCCTTGCACAGCAGGACAGGATGCGGGTCACCATGCGGCGGGTGCTGCTGGCGGTGGGCTCGGTGGTGGCCCTGATGGTGACGCTGCACCTCGGCCAGCAGGTCCTGGAGTGCCAGCAGGTGCTGAGCAAGAGGAGGCACAGGCTGATGAGACCCGAGAATGAAGAGCTGGTCATGGTGGACTCCAACCACGTGGAGTACCGTTACAGCAAGGAGATGCCCCTCATCTTCATCGGCGGAGTCCCCCGCAGCGGCACCACGCTGATGAGGGCCATGCTGGATGCCCACCCAGAGGTGCGCTGCGGGGAGGAGACCCGCATCATCCCCCGCGTGCTGGCCATGCGGCAGGCCTGGTCCAAGTCGGGGAGAGAGAAGATGAGGCTGGACGAGGCCGGGGTGACGGACCAGGTGTTGGATGCTGCCATGCAAGCCTTCATCCTGGAGGTGATCGCCAAGCACGGCGAGCCGGCCAGGTATCTGTGCAACAAGGACCCATTCACCTTGAAGTCCTCTGTCTACCTGTCCAGGCTGTTTCCCAATTCCAAGTTCCTCCTGATGGTTCGAGACGGCCGTGCTTCGGTCCACTCCATGATCACACGGAAGGTGACAATCGCAGGCTTTGACCTGAACAGCTACCGGGACTGCCTGACCAAGTGGAACAAGGCCATCGAGGTGATGTACTCCCAGTGCCTGGAGATCGGGCGCTCTCGCTGCCTGCCCGTCTACTACGAGCAGCTGGTGCTGCACCCCGAGCAGTCCATGCATGCCATCATGAAGTTCCTGGGTATCTCCTGGAGTGACACCGTGCTGCACCATGAGGAGCTCATAGGGAAGCCTGGCGGAGTGTCTCTTTCCAAGTGAGTGTGTGCTGGGGGGCAGGAGTTCCTTGCTTGTGTCAGCGGGTGCTTTTCAGAGGTAGAAGTAGCAGCACACTCAGCTTTACTGCAGTCAGTTTTGTGTTTCTGAGTGAATGAGGGCTTGAATATTAGCAAGCTGGTGTATGCAATAGAGCAGCCTGACAAGCAGGAAGCAAGTGACTCTTATTTCATCTCTCTTGATAGCGCAGAAGTGGCTCAGATCTTTAATTTGAAAAGAACTGCTTGCTCAGAAACGTGAGCTCTTTAATGCTTCTTTTCTCCACCCATCCTCAGATCTCCTTTCTGCAATTTTGCTGCTGATGAATCACTTTCAGGGGTGAGCAGTAATTCCTGCCAAAGTTGGTGCTGGTGTTGCGGAATAAAAGGAGTGCTTTCTCCCATGGAGACACACCTGAGCACTCCCTCTTGGCAGTCTGTTTTAGTGCTCCAGGAGGTGCTTGGCTTCTCCCACCTTCTCCTGGTCTTCCCATGCTGTTTCTTTTCTAAGAGAGGCTTAGGACTGACCAACTTAGCAAAATATAGTTGGTTGTGGCTGGTAGCAGCCACCCTAGCACAGGATGGATCCCAGTGCTGTGTCCTTGCAGTCACACTGAGACCCGAGCCCAGGGCTGCAGGGACCTCACACAGCAGCAGCACCGCCGTGCCCTGGCAGCTCTGCCTGCGTGCACAGAGGGTATGGAGCAATGTGTGTGCTGTGTGCTTGTCTCAGGCACTGAAAGCAAAATGTTCAGGTGGCAGCTAAGATAGCTGAAGACAACTTCTATCTGAGCCCAGTATATTTGTGAAACCAGATGACAGCAACTTGTTTTGCTTTTTTCTTTAATTTTTTTTTTTTTTTCTCCAGGATAGAAAGATCAACGGACCAGGTTATCAAGCCAGTGAACATGGAGGCATTATCTAAATGGATTGGACACATTCCAGGGGATGTACTGCAGGACATGGCCCACATAGCACCCATGCTTGCCAGGCTTGGCTATGACCCGTATGCCAATCCACCCAACTATGGCCACCCAGATCCACTTGTTGTCAACAACACGCACAGGGTGGGTGTCACAGCCATCTCCAGAGCAGGAGGAGCTCTGGCCAGGGTCAGAAAGAAGCAGCAGGGAAACAAAAGCTCTCTTCCTTCTGGGAAACTGTGAACGATGGGTGTTCAGTTCCACTGAGATGATTTCCCAACAGTTATGTGCAGTAGTTTGAGTCTGGTGTGGCTCAGATTGATTCTGCTCCCTGTGATTTTGTGGCAGTATTCGTTTCTTCTGTTGTGGCAGATACTGACCTGTCCCTCCCTCCCTGACCAGCCCCATTCTTGAACCCAGACATGGGAGTTACTGGTTGTGATGTTATCTGGTTGCAAAGTCGTTGGCACTAGAAACTCCAGTCTGACCTCAGGAAAATCTTAGGCAGTGCTGAGTCTGTGTGCTGCTCAGCAGCCACTCCCAGAGTCCCACAAGGGATGTGACTGGATGCTTGTAATGCACACGGGCAAAACCAGAAGAATTTTTTTTAGAATATTGACTCAAGTGTCTGAAGCTGCAGAGCCACAGGCAGCAGCAGACAGAGGGAATTTTTCATGCTTTGGGATGGACCAGTTCTCCCCAAACTGAGATCTGTGTGCAGACCCTGTGACAGTGCCCTTGGACACAGTGCCCTTTGCCACACTTCTGGGAGCAGAAAATGCTGTTCCCTGTTGTCTGTGCAGAGTGGAGAGCTGCAGCACAAACCTGGCAGATCAGAGAGCTATCCTGGAGCTGGTCACGGTCTGAGCGCTCTGGGCTCTTGCAGTTCTTCCTTGTTGTCTCTGCTTGCTGAGCCATTTCAGGACACAGATGATTTGGGTGAGCAGTCACTGAGGGAGAGACCTCCTGCTGTTGTCCCAGTATCCCAGCATGAGCTAGAACAGCTGCTCCTCAGGTCTTTGCTGGCTCACGTATCCTGGAACATATGCTGCAGTTAACGATGTGCACTTGCTGATGTTCGTACAGTCACTGTCCAAGAAGGGATCACTATTTTTCTTTTTTCCATAGGTTTTAAAGGGGGATTATAAAACGCCAGCCAACTTGAAAGGCCATCTGCAGGTAAGAATTTGATGTCATGTCTGAGTGCTTTGCCCTGTGTGGTTATTCACAGAATCATTTGAATGGGAAGGGACCTTTAAAGGCCATCTGCTCCCACTTCCCTTCCTAAATAGCACTGTTTGAAAGCAAGGGATTTCCATCTTGTACAACACAGAGCAGTCAAACAGCCATCATTTATACAGACTTAAATGTTATTTTATTGACTCTTCAGATAAGGCCACCTGCCTGAATAAGAGATGCAGTAGATTAGCATTGATTATCAGCAATGTTTTGATCAAAAGTGTCTGGTTTTACCTGTTCAACACGGGGACTGCATTGCCAGCATGTGAAAACACGCATAGCAAATCCCAGAATGAGGAAGCGAGGCTGCTAGTGCAGCAAGCACACACATGTATTCCCTGCAAGAGGTGTCACTTGCAGTTCCTGAGTAGCTGACACTGCACATGAGGTAGGGAAGTGAGAGACTCGTGGCTCGGTCTCTTGGCTGCCTGTTCTCTGCTGTTGTAACACTTTCTGTCCTGACCATTTCCGTTTTTTCTTGCTTCTGGGAACACACTGGGAATGCTTTGAATTGCAGGTGACTTAAAACTGATCCTTCTGTTTCTTGGTTATTCTAGGTGACTCAGAACACGTCATCTTCTCACTAATTAATGATTTCCAGGTAAGACCTTGTACTTTAATTTGGGATCCACACAAATCTGCCTGGCATTGCTGCAGGATTAGCATTTTGCTTGTATAATTTCCTGTGCTTGTGGATTGCCCCGGCTGCTCCAGGCACACTCATGATGTGAATGATCTCCTTCATAGTTGCTTTAGGTTCTCAGAGCAATACTGTTACGTGAGACGATTTGTCAAATCTCTTTTTTTTTTCCTGAGCTTTGGGAACGGGATTACTTCAGCAAAATCACAGTCAGCCACTTGGGGGTGTTATTACTGGATGTGGAAAGGGCAGGGGGGAACGTGTATGTGTGCTGAGTCCCGATAGCTGCAAGGATGTGCCCTGTGTGCATTTCAGAAGGGGGATGGTTGCGTTTGCTGCCAGCTTGGGAAAACAGACCTGCTCTCCTTGACTTCTGCAGCAGCAGCTGTTAGCGTGTCAAAGGCTTTGAGTATGAACAGGTGCTGTTGCCCATCACGCCTGAGTTGGAACTCAGTATCCAACAGTTGCTGTATCTCAGTGGCTTTAAAGTTGCTGGCATGTGGCTGTTGGGACTGCCTGACTGCCCAGACTGTTTCTTCCTTTGCAGGCTGCTGCGAACGGCCCTGGGTGGCCCTGCAAAGAAGAGTTTGCAGTTGCACCGGTGGAGATCTGTTATCCAAGCATATTGCTTGCTAATATTGCCAAAATGACTGCCGTGCGAGGAATGTATTTGCATTTATTTGCAAAGGCCAAACGTTGTACACTTCGATACCACTCGTCTCCCTTTGCTGGATGCTCCGTGGTGAAAAATCTGTGGAAGTGAAGATCGACTGAACCTTCAAAGTGCATTGGAAAGAGATTTTCTATTCAATTCCCGGAGAACATTTTAGAGCTGTATTTCAGTGTCTCGTAATGCTGTTCCTTAACGTGCAGATCAGAATAGGTGTCATAACCGTGTAGAGCATTTGTTGTACAGGTGACAATCCGGGACTCCCTCTTCAATCACTTGTCATTGACAGATTCTATTTAAGAATTAATATATGAGGTCATTCGTTTCACTCTTGGCTGCACTTACTCGTTTCCCACGACTAGAGCAGTGCTTTAACGCCGCTGCCCCGACAGGGTGCCTCGGAGCGCTCCGCCGCCCGAAGCGCCGCTCCCCGACAGGGGGCGCTAGCGGAGCCGTTCCTTCTAGCCAGCGTCTCTATGGTTGGGGGTGGGGGCTGAAATGGCGTATGTGTACGTCACCGGAAGTTGCCAGGTTCGCTTCCGGGCCGCCGCGGAGCGGTAGTAGCGGTAGATTGGAGCGGGGCGTGCGGCGCTCGGAGGTGCCATGTCCATGTCTCACCTGTACGGCACGGACGGGGAGGATGGCGTGGAGATGGAGAGCTTCGAGGTGTCGGACTGGGACCTTCAGAACGAGTTCAACCCGCACCGGCATCGGCACCGGCAGACCAAGGAGGAGGCCACTTACGGCGTGTGGGCCGAGCGAGACTCGGACGAGGAGCGGCCCAGCTTCGGCGGCAAGCGGTGCGGGCGGCGGGGAGGGGCCGGGTCCGAGCGGGGATGGGGCCGGGCCCGAGTGGGGATGGGGCCGGGCAGAGCGGGGATAAGGCCGGACGGAGCGGGGATGGGGCGGGGGCTCGTCCCGCAGCCCCAAAGCCCCGCCAGCAGCGCTTGTTGGGGGTACGGACGGTCACCGGGAGGAAGAATTGATGTTTCTTGCCGAGTGAGCAGTAATGTTTTTACTTCCGTGCCGCCCGGCGGTTTGTAAGACTTACAGGTCCTGTTTTGGTTCAGCTCTAGGGATTACTCAGCCCCCGTGAACTTCATCAGTGCAGGGCTGAAAAAGTCAGCAGCTGAGGATGTGTCAGATGAGGACTCTGACGAAGATGAGAAGCCCGTTAAACAGGAGGAGATCCCTAAAGAATTTGTGCCAAAGAAGTTGAAAACAGTGAGTGATCCAGAATGTTTTCATTGTAATGTGTTTGTGGAGCTCAGAGAGCAGTCTGAGTTCTGGGAATAATTCCCAACCAACCCACCAGCACTTCCAAGAAAAAGTCAGTTCCAACAGTGCTTCCAACTAGAGCACTAAGGAAAGGGAGGAACAGTTAACATTGATGTAGCACGTGGGGTACAGCGTGAAGCTGAGGGATGTGTTTGCTCTTCCTTTTCATGGATATCTGGATGTATTGTTGTGTATCCTTAGGATTGGCACTCCGCTGTGGGCTTGTTTCCAGTTGTCAAGCACAAAAACAATTGGGAAGCAGCTTCAGTAAAGTTCTTGGTAGAGCCTAAAAATTGACATCTCACTTGGAAAGTTCTTCAATGGCAGGGAACTCCCGTGGGCACGAAAGTGGCTTTCTGACATAGGAAACAGTGCAGTGTGTTGGCAGCTGAATTGCTTTGAGGAAGTACCTTGTGTCAGAGCGAAGTTCCACAGCATCTTAAAAATCTTCTGTGTTTTTGTTTTAATAGGGTGGAAATTTCAAGCCCAGTCAGAAAGGCTTTGTAGGGGGCACAAAATCTTTCACGGATTTTGGCAGCTGGGAGAGACACACTAAGGGAATTGGGCAAAAACTTCTCCAGAAGATGGGTTATGTCCCTGGAAGAGGTCTTGGGAAGAATGCTCAAGGTACTGTGATCCTGTACTTGGTTCTTTTTTTAATAACTAATACTTTGAAGAAGAGACTGCATTGTTTAAGAACTAGCAACTTGAAGTGGCTTATAGATAAACTCTTGCTTCTCTTGCCAAGTGCTCTCTCTCGTTTGAATTTCTTCCTTCTGATCTAACTGGTTTCTTGTTAGGTATTATTAATCCAATTGAGGCCAAGCAAAGAAAAGGCAAAGGAGCTGTGGGAGCATATGGCTCTGAAAGAACCAGCCAGTCTTTGCAAGACTTCCCTGTTGTTGACTCTGAAGAAGAAGCTGAAGAGGTATTTGTATGATTCCTGGTACATCCATTTACCTGGTTGTGTTGTGCAAGCAAAATTCAGTTCTAGTGTCAGCTTTTGTGTTAGAGGAAATTGATCTCCTTTTAGGTAAGAAACTAAGAACACAAAGCATGAATTTCATTTAGACGTATTTTCATGTTACTGTAATGTCCTTTATGTTGATTCTGTCTCACTTTATTCCAGTAGCATTGCTAGAATCCCATCCTCAGTTTCCCCCAGATAAATAATTTGTCTTGTGTTTAAAAAAAGAAAGATGAGAAACGTACTGGTAGTGATAATGGTGAGAAAAGGCTTTTTGACTGGACCTCAGCATTTGAGCCAGTTTTTGCTCTGCTTTGTCACCTTCCCTTTTGTTCTGCTGCATGGCATTCTTCATTGATCTGATGATTGCTTTTTCATAGAAAACAGGCAAATCTGAGGCGTGACTGAGAAGAGCAATTGCAATTTCTCCTTGTTTTTATTTAGGAATTTCAAAAAGAACTCAGTCAGTGGCGGAAGGATCCTAATGGAGGCAAGAAAAAGCCCAAGTACAGCTATAAGACAGTAGAAGAACTGAAAGCCAAGGGTAGGATTAATAAACAGCTTTCAACCCCTCAGAAGGAGCTCTCTCAAGTCAAGGTAAGGCTGATAAACCAAGTGATGGCATCTCTGGGAAGCAATTCAGTTTGTTTGCATTAGTGTTGAGTGCTTTTAGGCAAGTGGTAACCTTAACAGAAGCTAGTTCTAACAATTGTTGTCCATAGCCTCATGCAAATCAAGGCTTCAGATTCATTACTGAATCATTTAAGTGACCACAACATAGCCTGCAACGTTGGACTTGTCCTTGAGGAACATCTTGATCTTGAGAAAATACAGATTAGTTTTCTTGTTTGTTTGCTTCTGTAAGTTAACTGTTCCTCATTTGTCATAGCTCACCCAGTTCTTAAGCACATCTGTCCTTATTGGGACTGTGCAACTAAACACAGAGTACCTTTTAGGTAGAAAAGCTTTCAGACTGCAAGGAACTTGTCTTCAATGCTCTTAATGAAGTTACTCATTTAAATTGACAAGTCCATAAAAAAGTCTAAAATTACCTAAGTAATTAGTCGTGAGTAATTGCTGTTCTTAGATTAACTCATCAAAATGGCAAAACTGAGATCAGAGGTAGAATCTTTGAGCTCCGATCTCCAATTGTTCTTCATTTACTCCAGATCTTCACATCAGCCTGCTGGAGTAATTGGCAGTCTCCAATTTTTAATTTGGAACAAGGTATTTCCTCTTTTTAAACACAAACTGCACTTTTTAAGACGACTTCTCTTCTTGTTTGTTGGAAGGTTATAGATATGACGGGCCGGGAGCAAAAGGTTTATTACAGCTACAGTCAAATTAGCCACAAACACAACATCCCCGACGACAATCCTCAGCAGCTGCTGGGCAAGGACTCGAAGCCCCAGGGATTTGCCCTGCCTGAGCTGGAGCACAACTTACAGCTTCTCATCGACATCACGGAGCAGGAGATCATCCAGAGCGACCGTCAGCTGCAGTATGAGAGGGACATGGTGGTCAACCTGAGCCATGAGATACAGAAGATGTCTGAGATTCTCTCGCACGAGGAGACGGCCATCAGCAACCTCAGCAAAGTCCTGGACATGGTGGAGGAGTGCGAGAGACGGATGCAACCCAGCTGTGAAAATCCTTTGACCTTGGATGAGTGTGCCAAGATCTTTGAGACGCTTCAAGACAAGTACTATGAAGAGTACAGAATGTCTGACAGGGTAGACTTGGCAGTAGCAATAGTCTATCCTCTCATGAAAGATTACTTCAAGAACTGGGATCCCCTCAAGGTGAATATTAGTGTGATTTATCTGCAGTTCCCTTTTTGTGGTTTAAGTTGTTTTATTGTCTTGCCTTCCCCTCTCCTTGCCCAAATTCCCTGATTAGCTGGGAGAGGAAATGAAAAAAGCCACCTTTCCTCACACATGAGAGCAGAAAAGAAGGCTCCAGATAGAACCCTGTGTTCGTGCCAATAGTCAGAGAAACACTGCCTGTAGCAGAGCGTGCAGTCAGCCCTGCTCCTTGTGGATATCAGCTGAAATGAGTGAAAAGCCAATTAAGTCCACGTATCATTTAACCTCATCATTTCCAGGACTGTACGTACGGCACTGAGATTATAGCCAAGTGGAAGAGCCTTTTGGAAAACGACCAGCTGTTATCACACGGGGGCCAGGACCTTTCAACGGATGCTTTTCACAGGTAAATAACAAATTAATTGTATTTTGTTTAGTCTCTTTAAATGCTGCTTCCCCCGTGATGGTGAAGAACAGTTAAAAGTGTACTTCCCAGATGATTCTCTTCAGGTGTCTCTTAAAATCCAGCTGCCAGCTATATAAAAGGAAGAGGCTTTTAAGTAAGTTATCCATTCAGTTTCTGTAGGCCTGAGGCTTGATGAGCTCTAAGCTTAGTTTTGATTCCTTTATTTTTTCCAGACTGATGTGGGAAATCTGGATGCCATATGTCAGAAACATAGTGGCACAGTGGCAGCCAAGGAACTGTGGGTCAATGGTGGATTTCCTGGATAGTTGGGTACACATCATTCCTGTGTGGATACTGGATAACATTCTGGATCAGCTCATCTTCCCCAAGCTACAGAAAGAGGTCAGTGAAGAGAGCTGTACTAGAATGAAACCTTCTTTTGAACCACTATTGGAATTGTAGTCAACTGCTTCCACAATACCAGTTTGTTGCCCTTGTCAATGTATTTTGGAGTTAGGGGGTTATTTGCACCTGGGAAGTCTTTGTGCCAGTAGGAAATTAAATCTCTTCTGTGTTTTGCCTTAAGGTTGAAAACTGGAATCCTTTGACAGACACAGTCCCAATCCATTCCTGGATCCACCCCTGGCTTCCCCTGATGCAGGCACGATTGGAGCCTCTTTATTCTCCCATCAGAAACAAGCTGGCGAACGCACTGCAGAAATGGCATCCCAGTGATTCCTCAGCCAAACTTATCCTTCAGCCCTGGAAGGATGTGTTCACACCCGGGTCATGGGAGGCTTTCATGGTGAAGAACATTGTGCCTAAACTCGGTGAGACAAGGGAGAGGCGTTTTAATTCTTTGCCTTTGCTGA